ACCGAATCGACTGAGCCAATCCATGCCTACAATCACGCATACCTCCCCCATGGGAATCAGAATCAAATCTATCGGAAATGACACCCCGAAAATCTCCAAGTCACACCCTCGATAAACTGAAGAAGCAGAAACCTCGTGTTCGTTGGCGATAGACACTCGCAACGGACACTCTAACTCGCCCACTGGCGCACTGAACTCCCTACTAAATGTCTGAGATACGAAGGACCGACTCGCCCCCGAGTCAAATAAGACCAAAGCAGGCAAGGAGTTCACTAAAAACGTACCAGCAACCACATCTGGTGCTGCTCTGGCCTCCTCCACTGTAAGCTGGAAGACACGACCCTGAGCCTTTGGAGGCTCTGCCCTGACTGGTCTCCCATCCGTGATCCTCAAAGTAGCCGGCGCTGGAGCATGCGCCGGTTTGGCGGCGAGTAACGGGCAGTTGGCCTTCAAATGGTCAACCTGGTCACAATGGTAACATAACCTCATACTCTGAACTGGAGCGGCCTGACGACAGTCTTTCGCGTAATGCCCCTCCTTGCCACACTTGTGGCATCCACTACCAGCTCGACACACACCAGAATGACCCTTGCCACACTTCCCATATGTGCGGCTCTGCTGACCCCCGGTCCTAGTATCAGCGGTCTTAGACCGCTTCGGCGCCGGCTGAGAATGTGCCGGGGCCTGCCGCTGTTCTCTCAACTGCTGCTCAATCTCCAACTCACACCGTCTGGCGGCCTCCTGCAACTCTAGAAGAGTATCACATCGCTGGGTAGACACAAATTTGACGGATATCCGTCTTGAGCATGCTCAGATAACGGGTCATCTGGGCCTGCTCTGAAGCAAACTCCGGGCAAAACATCGCCCTCTCAGTGAACATCCAAGGTGATCTCCGTCACCGACTCCCCATCCTGTCTCAAACTCAAAAACTCCTGTGCCAATCGCTCCCACTCAACCCGTGGAATGTAACGGGCGCGGAACATATCCCTGAACTGCTCCCAAGTAACAGCAGCTCTCTGATCATCAGAGTACGACCCAGTCGCAAGTCTCCACCAGTCCTTGGCCCCAGACCTAAGCAGGTTCAGAGCACACCTGACCTTCTGGTCAGCAGGACACGAGCAGGTGAAGAAACACCCCTCCACATCTGAAATCCACCTCATAGCCTTGATGGGATCCTGCGTCCCATCAAAAGTAGGGGGCTTCGTGTTATCGAAGTCCCTGTACTGAAAACCTCTACCAACTCCTCCTCCCGTCGCTGATACAGCTGATGCAGCTGCTGCGGCGGCTGTCTCTGCAAGGGCTGCATAACGCTCATCAAAATACTCCACCATGGCGGTCTTGATCGACCCGAACATCTCCGGTAACTGAGCCCGGAATGCAGCAGCAACCTCATCATGCAGGATCTCTCGAATCCTGGCATCCAACTCCTCTGTACCCATCTGCACCACTGGCTCAGGTGCTGTCGGCCCCTCCTGGCCTCTGTCCCCTGATCCTGATCCCGAACCGGATCCAGCCACGAAGCGCCTCGTCATCACCATTCTGAAACATATCACCAGTTATCAGATAATTCATATAAATCACTGGGAGCCAACTCCCTACTAACCCTAGGGATTGCGACTTACTTGACACGCGTATAGGTCCTGTGCTTTCAGTAGCATGGGCCCCTACTACCTTCCACACCTACCCGTATTTGCCCCAAGTATCACCACAACACCCTAACAATATGCACAACATGGCGAGCGCTCAATCCTCACTCCTAGAGGAATGCTAAATATCTTATAACTGACCTCCCGGTCTCACTCAATCCTTCCTATCCATGAAACTTCCACCAACCCTGCAGCACTAATGTATGCTAGCCATGCATAACGCTGGACCCTATAGACTTTAGAATATCCAATCCTACCCCAAGCCCCCAATCAAACAAGAATAGAACATAAGGCCAAACATTCTCAGGCTATAAGATCTTAATTATGTACAACTGGGATGCATTCTCAGGCTATAAGATCTTAATTATATCCAATCCTACCCCAAGCCCCCAATCAAACATTCTCAGGCTATAAGATCTTAATTATGTACAAATGGGATGCATACATTAGACAACTACAGTAATGATGTCAATCTCACATAAAGGAAACCCTAGGCTAGCAGGCATCATGTATTCAGGAAATTCTATCATGCAATTCCTGAAGATCCCTAGCCTAGCACTAACATGCTGTTCTATCATATCGTATAATCAAATAACTTGTATGGTATTTTGGGGTCTACATACTGGCTCCGGCTGATCGTACGCCCTGCATCCTCCTTTATTTATTTTGAAAACCTTTTTGAAAAATCATTTTGAAAATCCTTTCCTTGATTTGAGACTGGAGTCACTCGAGTGTTCCTCCAATTCACTCAAACCAAGGCTCTGATACCAACTTGTAACACCCAAAAATTCAAGCCAAATTTAAACTTTCAAAACATGTAGAATTTATCAAAACATTACAACTTTGTTTTCAAAATACATTTATATCAGAGTTTTCCCAGAAACATAACATAATAGGAGGAGCTGTACGATCATGCCTTTGCCTTGCCGCGATCCCCTGATGTACCTGAAACAATAAACTGAAACTGTAAGCCCGAAAGCTTAGTGAGTTACCCCCAAAATACCGATACACATACAGTCCACATAACCATGTCACACCATGACATATCATAACAAACTGAGCAGAACAGCACATAACGGGTCCACAGCTTTACAGACTGGAATACCCCTGGGCCCACAGTGTGAGTCTGGAATGCCTACCGGGGCCTCAGCTCACATCTGGATTGCCATCGAGCCCTCAGTACGAGTCTGGAATGCCTACCGGGCCCTCAGCTCGTATCTGGAATGCCACCGAGCCCTCAGTACGAGTCTGGAATGCCTACCGGGCCCTCAGCTCGTATCTGGAATGCTCCCAAGTCCTCAGTATGAGTCTGGAATGCCTATCGGGCCCTCAACTCATATCTGGAATACTCTAGGGTTTGTTGGCTACCGCACGGAGCAGTATAACCTCAACCCATCCCACATAACATATCAACATGTAACAGATAATGCACATGCAGACAATCAATCAGTATCACAGGTAGTCCTACAGACCTACCCTCTAGCGTATCAAACTAGCATGCATAACTAACTCATACTCAACATAATACAACTACTAGGATATCATATCCAATGGGCCGGCCTTGGTGCCTTAGACCCCTTAGTATAGTGAGGATAACTCACCTCGCAACTGTCGTCGGAAATAAGAAGGCTCAACTCCTGGGTCCAACACGAACTCCACCACCTATAGGTACCATACAAACCTTTTTCATAAATCTCCCAATTACCAGAAACCATCAGAAGTCAGCTGTTCAACCCTTGGTCCAAGTCAAAGTCCACAGTCAAAGTCAACAGTCTATGTTGAATCGACTCGTCGAGTGCAGATCACCGACTCGTCGAGTCCTTCCTGAACTCGAGAAGTCGTGAAATCCTTTATTGGCTCGCCGAGTTCCCTTTTTAACTTGTCGAGTTCATACGTGGCCAAGATTTGGAAGAAACCCTAGCCAACTCGCTGAGTCTTCTAACAACTCGCCGAGTTCAAGGCAATCTTCAACGAACTCACCGAGTTGCTCAACCAACTCGCCGAGTTCACGGCTATGTTCATAGGACTCGCCGAGTCCAGCGTTCTACTCGCCGAGTTCATTCAGTCCTTTTTCCATACAGACCTGGTTTGAGCCATGCAGCGGCTCCAAACCACAGATCTAGGCTTCTAGGGCATGCTTATCACGTAAAGTTGCAAACTTTACATGCATGCATAGCTTTAAGGGCTCCAAATGTCAAAACTAAGCTCTTAATGGGGTTTTAAGCTCAAGAGGGACCTCAATCACGAACATAACTGAGACTTTACAACTCTAGAAGGTAATGAGGGTCCAGATCTGAAGTATAGCCCAACCATAAGGTTTCTCTACCAAGGATTTGGGGTTTTAGGGCTTAAAAGCAACAATTTAGGGACAAACAAGATCTAATAGATCAATAATCAAGATGGAAACTTTATTACCATAATGGGTGACCACAAATGAATGTGTTCTGGATCTAAGTCCCCTTCCTTGAGCTCTTCAACCCCTTCCTTCTTCCACTTGCTCCAATGTGCACCAAAAGTCCCTTCACAAGGCAACAATCACTCAAACTCACGAATGGAGACTAGGGTTTCGATAAGGAATGCTCTGAGGGTGATGGAGGCTGAGATGGGGCTATAAGGACGTTTAAATAGGGTGCAAACCCTAAGGATTAGGGTTTCCTCCTGACTGGCCTACTCGCCGAGTCCAGGCGTGGACTCGCCGAGTAGATCACTTAAAGCCCGCGTCCAATTCGACATCTACTCGGCGAGTTAGGGTTACAACTCGCCGAGTAGCTCTTACAAAAAGAAACATTTAATCAAATTAAATACGTACCAGGAACGGGGCGTTACATCGAGCTTCCTCAAAATTAAACGAGCCGAGCTCGAGCTTGGTCAGGCTCGGGCTCGGCTCGGCTCGTTTACACCCCTAACTATAATTCGTGAGTCATTACTATAAATGAAACAATAGAAATAAATAAAGAAAGATCGTAAGTTATCATCTAATAACCCATTGTGCCTAATGGTTTGCGGTTTCTAAAATCGACCACAAAATCAAATAACACTATATGAATATAGTTTTAGAAATAAACCAAAACCACAAGAAATCAACCCGTATCAAAACCCGCAAAAACCGAACTATTTTCCTAACACTTTTTATACCTTCAAAAACCGACTTTATGGTTGATGATTTGATTTTGACCAAAAACCACACCACACTCGGTCCTACTTTTCACATATAAAATTTGATTTAGTTAGGACTATGCAAGACAATAAAAGGTCATTTAACGACCAAGAATTTACCGTTCTTCTAATTAGGCAGGAAGTGAAATATAAAGTATTGTCAAGGGACTAGTTAGTAACTCGATCGTGTATTTATTTATTCGTTCGTCCGGTTTTATTTTGGCTTGAAAAATACCAAATTCGAGGCGAAGAACTCTCTCCTACTCTGTCTCATCTCGTTCTCTCTCACACACAGATACACACAGTACCCCATTGATATCGCCTTCTCTCTATATTTCCACACTTCTCTCACTTTGCGGAGCTTCGTAACATCCGACACATGTGTAGTCATAGGGAAAGGGGAAAATTAGGGTTAGGGTTTTGAAGAGATTTCGCCATGGAGGTCGAAGAAGAAAATAACTCAAAGCACCTTCAAGAATCGACAACAACCGTATCAAATGAAAGTTTGTTAGAAAATAATAGCATGAATGATACAGAATTAGAAATAAAGGTACCAGAATCGAACACTCAAGAAGAGCAAGGAGAAAAATCGTCTGTTTTATCCCCTAAATTGGACGATCCAAATCCTTTTGACGCGGTTGCAGTGGGGGAAACAGCGGAGGAGAAGGGGGTTATTGTTGAATGCGAGAACTCCGAGCAAACGGGTGGATGTTGGAACTCGGTGGTGGTCGAGCCTACGAGTTTGTTGAAAGACGAGAAGAACGGAGCCGAGGGTGCTGCAAATGATGGAATTTCTACCTCTGATGTTGCTGCTACGGAGCGTGGTGGTAGCGAGTTAACAAATTCGACCAAAGTTGACGTTGGAGAGTGTGAGGCAGCTGTAATTGTGCGAGATAATGGTTTAGATTCAGTCGAAGAAAATGCCAATAACAGCGAGGAGGTTACCAATACAAATGGTTCGTTCGTGATTGAGAATGATAAAGACGGAAGCGACGACAAAATGGAGACTGTGAAAGTGGAGGAAGCTGGCGAGACGATGAAAGAGGGCGGGGGAGTGGATGTTCCGCTGGTGCCAGTTGCTGAAATTGATGAAAGAGAGGAAGTGATGGCGGATGTTAAGAGTGATGGTGACGAAATTGTTCTAGGAGATGAAGCAATCACAGAGAGTCAGGTTGATGTCCAAGAAGCGGATGCAGAAGTTGTTGCAGATGAAGAGGAAGGTCTTGAGGAAGGAAACACGACAGACGACGAGAACGCTGCTGGTGCTGCAGAAAACGAGGATGAAGAACCAACGTTGACAGATGAGGAGAAATCATTAGATACAGAATTGGAGACCGATGAAGAAGCAACCATGGCTGATGAAGAGAAAGTCCCAACGGAGGAGATGGAAACGGAATTGACAGAGTCGGTTGTTAAGCGTGGCAGAAGGAAACGGAAAAGAGGAGGAAAGAACTCAAAAGCTACCCCCAAGTCTACAGTTGGGCGTAAGAAGATAATTGACGAAGATGTTTGCTTCATTTGCTTTGATGGCGGAGACCTTGTCCTATGCGATATAAGGTGAGTGTTCTTGATTGATGATCAATCTGGGTTTACAGTGTTCTAAATTCCATTGTTCCATATTTACAGGACTTGCCCTAAAGCTTATCATCCTTCTTGTGTAAACCGAGAAGCTGCTTTCTTCCAAACTAAGGGTCGATGGAATTGTGGTATGTTCTCTATCCTCTCATACATTTAAATAATTATTGCTTTTCACCTCATGTGATATATTACCATTTATATTATCAAAACAAGGACCAAAATTGACTCTTCTCAGAAAATAGTTTCTGAAAACAAGGTAAATGACAAAGACTAAGGGGGCGTTTGGTTTGCTGGGTTCCTTAGGAATTCAATTACATTCCATTTTGGTGTAAAAGTAAAACTTGCTCCTTCTGGGTTCTCTTGAGCTGACATTCACCAAACAAGCACCAACCAAAGAGGAAATTTTTCATAGAATGTGTATATGAAAAACGAATGAATGAAATATATGTTTATGACGATTGAATGAATGAAATCATACATGGGGTATTTATATAGTGTGGATTGGGGATTTAAGGTGTTCATTTAGAACAGCCAAAGTTTTTTTTTTTTTTTTTTTTTTTTTTTTTTTTTTCTGCTGTAAATGGTTAATGGTGTTACATGATATATGAGAGCTAATCTTGCAGCAGTTGGCTTGTATCAGAGATTCAGTTAAAAGGGAGATTCATCAGAGAACCTGGCAACCTGCCACAACACAGATACCATGAATGCTTCACTGCTAAAGTTGATGGCTTTTTTCCAGTAGGATTAGTGTCAATGTGTGACTCCATGAATTCTTAATTAATCTGTTCAAGCAAGCAAAGCCTTTTTTTGTCTAGTGAAGTTGTCAAAGGAAAGACTATTGTTTTCCAATATCTGGACACCATTCAAGAACGATTAATTCTTCGTTTTTTTGAAGTTGATCAAAATAGGAAAATCCAATGGCATTATATTATGCTTGTTCTTTTTTGATGTAACCACATTCAAATGTATAATTAAGTCCTTGTTGTAAACAAATGCAAGGACTTGAATGTAGTATGATTAAGTTGTTGTAAGGGCACACATACATACTTGTTTCACGCAATTACTGCAAAAGCATTTTAAATAACCATTCTACTACACCTTTTGCAATATTTGTTTTCATTGTTTTCTCATGAGAATAATCTCAAGAAAAAAGTTTTTCTTCTTGACCTTAAACAACAAAGAGATAAACATGGCAACTGAGAAATGAAGAAAAGATCATGAAAATGAAAAAGAAGGAAGTGAAATAAAGAAATCATTTTGAAATTGTTCATGGATCCAAATTTGCTTCTAATGTGCAGTTGCTCAATGCATTCATGAATCATATTAAAGTTGTGTGTTTTGGTTTCCTATGTGCCATATTAAATACTTGAGTTTCTCAGAAACCATATAGATGTGCTTTTACTTAAATTACCATGGTAGCAACTTATTTATTTATTTAAATTTTGGGTTTCAGGTTGGCACCTGTGTAGTACCTGTGAGAAGAAGGCTGAATACATGTGCTATACATGCACCTTTTCCTTGTGCAAATCATGTATCAAAACCAATGTTATATTATGTCTCAAAGAGAAAGAGAAGAAAGGTTTTTGTGAGACTTGCATGAAAACCATCATGCTAATCGAAAAAAACTCTCAGGAAAATCAAAATCAGGTATAATTATATTATTCTTTACTCTTAATTTAATCATCTATCTATATTCTATAGACTATAGTATCAATTGATAACTAAAAATCTCTGTTTCAACAGGTGGATGTAGATTTTGATGACAAGAACAGCTGGGAATATCTATTTAAAGATTATTGGATAGACATGAAATCCAAACTCAATCTTTCATTACCCGACCTTCTTGAGGCCAAGAATGCTTGGAAAGGATTCGATCCAGCTGGCAAGAAAGACCTGCCAGCTGTACACTCTGAAGGTGGTTCAGGCTCAGAAAACCCTTCCCCTTCCCCTTCCCCTTCCCCTTCCCTACAAACAAAAAAGAAGAGAATAAGAAAGCCTAAAAAGCTCAAAGAAGATCTGAAAAACACCGAGTGGGCATCAAAAGAGCTTCTAGAATTCGTGGCCCACATGACAGGTGGCGACACGTCATTTCAAACACAGTTTGATGTCCAAGCTCTCTTGCTGGAATACATTAAAACAAACAAACTTCGCGATTCGCGTCGCAAAAGTTATATAATTTGTGATGCAAGACTCGAAAGACTTTTTGGAAAACCACGAGTAGGACATTTTGAGATGTTGAAGCTTCTAGAATCCCATTTTCTTATCAAAGAAGATTCTCAGATAGATGATGTACAACTACAAGGGGACACTGTTGATACTGATGTTGTCCAGGTGGACAATGATGATGAAGGTAATGAGAATGTGAAAAGCGGGAAAGATAATAAAAAACGTAAAATTCGCAAGAAAGTTGACCGAGAACCTCAGTCAAACCGTGAGGATTATGCTGCGATTGATACACACAATATAAGTTTAATTTACATGAGAAGGAAGTTGGTGGAGGATTTACTTAAAGATAATGAAACATTTCATAAAAAAGTTTTTGGGACGTTTGTTAGAATAAGGATTCCTGGTGCTCATAATAAGAGTGACATATATAGACTGGTTCAAGTTACAGGTGATTAAACACTTTACTATTTTTAAAAAATTTGGATTTCTAATATTGCTATGTATGCAATTAATTCGGTTAATCTACAATGATTGAAAACAGGGACTATCAAAACAGAGGAATATTCAGTTGGCAAACAGAAGACTGATTCCATGCTTGAAATATTGAATCTTGACAAAACGGAATCTGTATCCATTGATACCATTTCAAATCAAGAATTCACAGAGGTTATAAAGTTAATTTTTTTTTGTAGAATTATTGGTATCTTTTGAGTTGCTGATATGTTTAGTTTTGATATGGTAGGATGAATGCAAGCGTCTAAGGCAAAGTATAAAGTGTGGATTGATAAATAGGCTGAAAGTGGTATGTTTTTCTTTTTTCTTTATATAAAAAAAAGAAAAAAAGTTATTTCCATTGTTCTAACACGTTTGGTTGCTTGTAGGGAGACATTCTGGATAAAGCCATGGAACTTCAAGCTGCAAGAGTTGATGATGTAAGTTCTGTAATTTGATTCATCTTTTTCTTTATTTATGTATTTTATTTTAAATATATTTTGTATATAATGTTTTATAAATGTTTCAGTGGCTTGAATTGGAGGTTTTGCGCCTTAGTCATCTTCGTGATCGAGCAAGTGATTTAGGGCGTAAAAAGGAATATCCTTTTTTTTTTTTTCTTAAATATTTACTGTTTCATATTACCACCATTTTCCCTTTCATTTTTATGTTAGTCATGATGAATTTAATGGAGGTTTGTGTGATCCTTGACTTATATATATCCACGCTGAGAGAATGTGTAGAAAAACTACAAATTTTGAAGACACCTGAAGAACGTGCTCGTAGGCTAGAAGATTTACCTGTAATACATGATGATCCTACTATGGATCCAAAACATGTGTCTGAAGATGACACAGATGAAGATGACAAGAAACAAGGTATATTAATTAACGATAAGTAAATTTCAGTAAAAAGATTGGTTTATGATTCTCTATTGCTATATGTAGATACATACAAAAGCTCTGTGGGCCCCAGATTTAATAATAACCGGAGACGAGACTACCCCTCAAAAGAACCTTGGAGTAGTACAAGAGGTCCTGCTAAAAATTACGAATTTGCCCGTTTCTCGAACAAAACCGAACCACATAATGAAAATTTACGCGATCAAGGACGGGACCCAATCGTATTAAAGAAAAACGAAGATTCACCTTCACCTTCACCTTCAAGTTCAAGAAAAGATGTTATTCCCGAAACTACCCCTGAAGTAAATGAAACAGAGAAAATGTGGCATTACAAGGATCCATCTGGGAAAATTCAAGGCCCGTTTTCGATGGTACAGTTGCGTAAATGGAACAATAGTAAGTTTTTTCCTGTTGATTTGAAAATATGGAGAAAGAGTGAGAAGGAAGATGATGGTGTTCTTTTAACCGATGCATTAGAGGGACGATTTACAATTACAATTAAAATTACGCCCCCCGTTAAGTGGGGCCCGAAACATGATGAGAGAGATGGTTTTGGTTTGGGTAGCCTTCCCTCTCCTACTCCTACTCCAAACCAAAGTAAGAGTATGGCTAGTTCTTCGTATCATGGTGGCAACGAAGGGCTGCAGTCACCTACACCGAGTGCTAGTGGTCCCCGGATGGTGGCATTTGGTGGTGGTAATAATATGCCGCCGCCAGTTGCTCAACCGGTTACCACCACCGATCAAAGTCTTTCTGGTGGACCTTATGGTTGGAGTGGCGGTGCACCTCATAATCCACAACCGAGCCCCCAGTGGGGTGGTGGTGGTGGTGTACCGAATATGGTTCAGAATCCTGCCGGAAACTTTCTGCCGCCGCCACCACCAGCACCACCAAATGTAAGTTGGCAACCTCCTCCAGGAAATCAAAACATGAATTGGGGAGCTAATGTTCAAGGTCCACAATTAACAGTGAATTCCCCATGGGGTTTGCAACTGCAAGCAGGTGGTGGTTGGGTTGGTCCACTACCACCAACACCAACACCAGCACCGGGTCAAGGGTGGGTTCCTGGGAATGGAATTGGAAACCTTAATTGGGTTCCTGGTGAGGCGAACCAGGGAGCATCATCGAATATGATGAGCACTGGATGGGTTGGTGGACCCAGTGAGATAGGGTGGGGTCCACAGGCGAACCTGGGGTGGGGTTCCCCAACACCTAGGAATCGAGGAGGTATGTGGGACAGAAATGAACAAAACTACAACAGAAGTGGGTTTTCAGGACAAAAGAGGAATAGAGGTGGTGGTTATACAAGGCACTAAAAGAGACAAACCTCAAAACCCCGGGGGGGTGTTGGTGTGATCGTAACATTTGTTTTGTACAGCATTTGTAGTGTGTCGTGAGTAGATGAAAGATGGATGTTTGTGTTTTAGGCTATATCATAGTGTTACTTATCATCTCTCTTTCGTCAAAGATAGAAAACATGTGCAGCGTAGGTTTTTATGTGCTTTTAAGATTTAACATAATATCATAACCGACTAGACTTGTCTGTCTTGTCTTGTAGCATTGCAGGTTTTTAGTTATTGTTTATGCTGAATAAACGTGCTTCATGGTTCATGCCATAGACACCATATGATTCAAAGTGACACTTAATGATGTTTTTTTTTTTTTTTTTTTTTTTTTTTTTTGGTTTCGTATAAAAGCAGTGTTTTTTCTATCATCAGATCAAGGGGTGTTTTTTCATATATGTATAAATTGTTTATGTAACATCTTAATAGCTCATATGTAAGTGGAAGACACTAAGTTCATTTGATTTGACTTGATAGTCTCATAGATTTAACGGGTAAATGATTTAAAATCATCAACTAAACCGTTTGGAATTGTTTGTTTCTTACAGAGAGAGAGAAAAAAAAAAAAAATCAATGGTGGAATTAAGTCATCTGGCCTTTTTTGTTTCATAAAGAAAGAATAACCATGGTGTAATTTTATTTCCATCAATTATTCATACTTTCTGACAAAAGGGTTGAAATTGTTGTACCTTCTACAGTTCTTCTGCTCACAGAGCTTCGGAGTTTGGATCTGTGTTGTAGACACTGTTGGATGGGCACCACCATCCCAAGTAGAGACATTTACCTTAAGCTTTACCGTTTTGATCCCGGTTGCAATTATGATATTTTTTTCAATATTAATGTATAGATATTCAAAGTGGTATAATTGCAATATTATTAATTCCTGTTAATTTCTTAAAATGTCAGTTGATCCAATCTCATAAGCTTCAAGCTTGAGATGACATGTCATTAAAAAAAACCATAAACGGATGTTTTGTTGGTGCTTGAAGTGTTATCAAGCATTTTAGGTAATTCATATTTAAGGATTATGTCATGCACACATGTCCATATGCTTTTGTGTACTACGGTGCCCAAGACCGTTCAAAGCCGATTTGAGGCACGGAGCAAAAGTAAATATGAGATCCTTCAAAACATAGAATATATTAATTAAATAACTAAAGTTGAAGTATAATAAAGTCTAACAATTGTATTAGAATAAGGTAGACGTATAATTGAAGTGGAGCATATAGGATCACAATCCAATCTTCCAAACATATCTTCAATGCTTTTACCTCACTCATTTCTAAGAAAAAGCATCACCACATTAAATGGATTTTAGGATCTAAAACTTACTAGCTTTTATACCCACGTAGTTGGGGCCAAATCAAGCTTCGGAACAACTTGAAAAACCTAATTATAAACACTATTTTACGTTGCCTTTATTAGTAAAACAAAAACATAATCATAGAACCAATTTTATAGTCTATAAAATGGAATAAAGAACGACACATATCAAACAAAATATTGAACTCTTACCAAATTCGAATATCCATACTAATTCCCCGTTAATATCCTTCAAATTAATAAAAATTCCGCATTTTTAGCAAATGATCATGCAACATAAATATAGAAAACCACAAAACTAGAATGAAATTATAAATAATTATACACCTATAAAATAAAAGTATAAATTAAACTAAACCATCCATGCTCATGATGTCTCTCCCACATTGCCTCTGCTTTTCCAACATCTTTAATTCTTTATCAAAACTAACTTGAAACACCTATAAACTTAAAAGATGAGTGGATAAAAATTAAGTGATTAATATATTTCACTTACTATTAGATTCAAATTCAGAGAGCAGAGAATATAGTCATCGAGATTCAGAAATGAATTTCAGTTGGCAATTGAACGTTAGAACTTCAAATTTCATAAATCATAAATCAATATTTATAACTTGTAAAACTCAGAGAATTAGAAATCAGAACTCAAGTCTGAAACAGATGGACAAAATGAACACATATACATATATGATCGTTGATTGATTTAATTAGTTAATTTATCATTGTTTCCTTAAAATAAATGGTCAACCATGAATTATACATTTATATAATACTTAGTGATTTACATATTATCCTAACTAACTAACTAACTATATATATATATATATATATATATATATATATATATATATATATATATATATATAATATATATAGATATATATATATATATATATATGCTTAGGTTATTCTATTCTAACTAATTATTGTATGAATATCGTATGCTATGAGAATTACTAAGAAAATAAGCTGTTTAGCAATGCGAATACGTTCAACTTTACAAAAATATCGTCATTTTCATGCATTCTCACTAATTATTATTTATTTTTGTTCTCACACATCGTTTTTCACTCATTTTCATTCTGACAGAATACGACCCAAATAAACATTCTGACATAAATGAGAATAATAATAATAAGTGTATAATAACCTTATAGACGATTTAATTAGTGAGAATGTGTGTTAATGACAATAGTTATATAAGATTGAACGTATTTATATTATCAAACAACATATTTTCTTTATCATTCTCATAGCATACGATATCCGCACAATAATTAGTTAGAATACTTGAACCTAGCTCTCTCTCTCTCTCTCTCTCTTTCTCTCTCTCTCTCTCTCTCTCTCTCTCTCTCTCTCTCTCTCTATATATATATATATATATATATTATATATATATATATATATATATATATATAATATATATATATATTGTAACACCCAGAATTAGAAAGACCAAGAAAAGAAAGGAAAAGCTCTAAGTCATGAGTCAACTCGTCGAGTCCAGGGAGGAACTCGACTAGTTGGAGCGGGATCCGGGGTATAGAGTAAGTGACCGACTCGGCGAGTCGGCTAGTGGACTCGGCGAGTCTGGTTTGGACGAGAAAAGCCCTAATCCCGGGGGTTGTGCCCTATATAAAGCACATTATAACCCACCCTCAGCCTTTTTACCACCCTTTTGAGATCCAGAAACCCTAAATCGTGAGTGAGAGTCATTGGAGGCAATTTGGAGCTTAGATAAGTGGTTTTTGGTGAAGAGATCTTGAAGATCAAGAAGCTTGGATCAAGGGGTTTACAGAGATCTGGATTATTCTTCAGTGGGAGGTCATCTTGGAGGTAATAAGCTGTTACCTTCACCCTTTTTGCATCTAGATCTATTCTCGAATGAGATTTTGGGGCTATTTTGGTAAGATTAAGATCTATTTCGGGTTTGGGGCTTAGATCTGAGGTTGCTACTTCAGATCTAGAGTTGTGATGGTCCAGAATGTCTTAAAGCAACAGTCAATGAGTTATTGGTGAAGCCCCTTTGTCTTAGACCCTAGCCCTAGAGTGTTTTGGGCCTTTAGCCCCTTTGTCTTCCGGTAGCGGAGGGAAGAGCTCGGGATGATCGCATGGCACACACCATAGTTAGTCAGCCTGGGATGTTTTACTCTGATGAAATGAACAAGTGTTTTGGAAATGAAACTATGATTTGTCATATAAACCCTTTTTGTATGTTTGAATGACTTAACGCTATGAATTAGTAATGTTTTAAAAGAAATTTTTGGACTCGAAATTTGGGATGTTATATATATATATATATATATATATATATATATATATATATATATATATATATATAGACTTAGGTTATTCTATTCAAAGTAATTATTGTGTTATTGTATGCATAAATATGGACCAATCAATTTTACTTATTTTAAGAAAGTGATTAATATATATTATTGAATTAAATATAATTGAAAAATATCATCTAAATTAATTACAAGGGCATTTTAGTCAATTAATATATATTTAATAAAGGAAAGTTGCATATTTTAAGGGATCATAGAATCTATTAATTTTAAAAATCCGATTTTACGAATTATAATTCTTTTAATTCGGACATTCTGACAGAATATGTTTATGAGTATATTCAAAAATAAAAATATTCTTGAACCATAAATAATAAAAATATTCTTGAACCTATTTCTTGATCTTGACTTTAAAAACTTCTTGTAGAATAACAAATTCTTGAACAATCAATTGAAGAATAAAAACAAAAAATACATTATTTCTTATAGAATACGGGTAACAATTGTTAAGAATTACATTTATTGTTAAAGAATAAAACAAAAAAAACTTTCAAAACGGGAAAAAAAACATCAAAATCTAAAAACGACACTAATACATTCTAAAAGAATAATGTTGCTTAGAATCACTTTCAATTTTGTGGTCCGTTCTTCAAGCATCAACTTCTGTGAAAACAAAACCAAATTCTAGTTTAGATTCCAATAATGCATTAGCAAATGAAAAATAAAAAACTAAATTCCTTTGGAAAAATATGTGGACTTGTGAATTGCACCAAAACCAATAACCAAGAATTGTAGAACATGCATAAATCAGTGAGAAAATATCCACACTCCATTCCAACAGAATTAGAATTCATGATCCATTCCAACAGAATTGGAATTCGTGATTCCATTCCAATAGAATTGGAATCTCACCAATATCATCCATTGAATCATCTACAGAAACAAATTGATTTTTATCATATAAGAAGAAGTAAATTTGATATGAAAATAGTGACAAACTACCTTCACTTTGAAAATAGTCAAAATAGTGGTCAGATTTATAAAGTCTTTTAAAGATATAAAAAGATGCCAAGAAGTAAAATGCATTTATAGTGTATACCTCTAGCCTTTTTCTTAACTTATCATGCCCTTTTAATAGCAAATGCACAGGAATATAACATGATAGGAAGATTATCCATCCTAATGTCAGAACAAGAACCCTGAGATATGAACAAAAATAAGCAAAGAAACCAAATGTTCAATTTCTCATTATGCAGAGTTACATACAACAAACAGTTACCTTCCAGGGAAAAGAATTCCATATCTAACTACAACTCCCAAACACCACAAAGGGAATAAATATATATTCCAGTTCCAAGGCTCTGGAGGATTTGATTTGAAGCATCGTGTGAAAGAATCCTGCTCATGCAGATGGAATTTGGTTAGACACAACTAAAATCATGAATCCTCACCATTAGGGAAGGAAAAAAACGAATTCACAGTGCAGAAAGCACACTAGACACAATTGTAACAGTATTTTTCAGATGATAAAACATCTAGTAGATCGAATGAGTCAATTCGCACGGATAGAAGAAGAAACATAAAAAATCGAGGCGAAATTAGAAAGGAGTATAAGAGGAAATCAACACTTACATCGACAATGG